GAGTAAGTGAATGAATGAGAAAGCAATTGGGAAATGTTAACTTTTGGCCCAGGAGTCATCTAAACTAAGTATTAATTGAAAGAACTAATTTAATTTCTACAAACATAGGGGTAGGGAGATGTTGAACCAAACTTTGTTTCATAATAAATGGTATTTTAAAAATGAGGAATGAGTGAAGGGGATTCTCTCTCTGCTAATAACATATTGAAACTGCTAATGAGAACTTCGTAGTACATTTTGAAGTAATTTAATTTTCGTAAGACTGAGGAGATGATGCCAAAAATACCAAGAACTTTATTTATTTTTTAAAATGTAAGTCAAAAGTTTGCCAGAAATACATGTCTGGTTGGTTTTTACCTGGATTATTAATTCTCCTTGCCTTAATGGAGACATATCTTTTGAAATATTTTTCTCATTGAATATTTATGAACAGGGTGCTAGAGAAAATTACTTTTTCCTCTTCTCTTCTTTGAGGTATAACTCTAAGTGGTTCAGGGTCCATTTGCTGGAGAAATATACTTCGTTATGAGGGCACCAAAGAAACACATTTAATAAAAACATTTGTTATTCTGCCTAATGGTGTAAAACATGTCACCTAATATTTTAAAACATAGGTCCAGTATAAATGCTAAATGGGTATTATGGAGATCCTGTGCTGCTTAAATTCAAGTTGGGTTGTTAGAATAGTGTCTGTAAATTTGTACTGATATTTCCAGTATTATGTACTGAGAAAAGCACATCTGTAAAAACTGGTGTGTCCTGGTATTCTTGGCAGGATTTGGGCTGTCTTTAATCTCCTTTGACTTGTTCATCTTTTAAGGCCATCCATAAAGATGCACTGAGTATCCTTTTCAGCCTTTGGTTAGGATTTGCATCAGTAGTCATAAACCTGCTCTCTGGACAAAGACACCCTTTCCTTTGAAGTAATTGCTCAAGCTTTTCAAAGCAGTCCAAGAAGTCTATCCTCTTTCTCTTTTTATTTTTCTTTAAGAAGAGTTTGAAGTGTAGCCCCTTAAACTAGCAGCAAGATAAATTTTTCTCTCAGCTTTATTGAAAGCCATGACGATTTTTCAAGCAGTAGGACTTTAAAAGATTCTTAAAGGAACCTGTTCTGCTTTATGATCTAGCTTTTGGTAGATCCTACTACCCCAGGAAGCAAAAGTAAAGACTTCTTGTATCCATTAACACTGCAAATTTTTATCAACGAATTAATCTGATATTTTTCAGAAGACTTTTTTTTTTCTGCTCTTTGCTTTAGAGACTTCAGTAAAAAATGGTGATAGCTTTGGGGTCTTTGAAAAAGTAATGTATGGCCAGTATTGTTTTATTTGAGCTGCTTTCTTCCCCTCCCCCCCCCAAGTATTAACTCTCAGGGCTGGCATGAGGTTGGGATGTGAGTGCTACCATGGCAATGAGTTACATGGTTCCTAGATTTCGTTTCTAGACTTTCCAAACAAATATACACAGATATGGAGCAGTTTTTTAACCTTTCCTTTCTGTAGGAGGTTATTGCTGGGCTCTGTGATCCAGGGTGATGTACAACAGTGTAACTACAGAGAAATAAATAGATTCTGTGAGCCACATATAAAGCCTGTGTTCTGCCTCTGATTTTCGCCTCTACCCTTAGTAATTTTATTCCAGGTGGTCCCCAAAATATCCGTTGAATTTAAACAGTTTGGATCTGTTGGATTTAAGTCCCATATCATATAATTTCTATTTGCTCTAGTGAAATTTTAATACTTAATCCAACAAGTATTTACTGTGAACAGATTTTTGTGATGACAAAATGTAAAGAAGACACTCAATCTGCATAGCAGATAATAAAGGAAGTACACAGTTCAGTCTTTAAACAAGACTGCAAACAGCTTATTTTAAGAGGATTTGATATCCCTCCTTATATTCTTGTATGTGGATTTTTAGGGGCTATTAATGTGTATTTTCTAAAGGGGAGGGAATGTTAAATAGCACAGTCTTCTTACTGGAAATGCAGCAAGTGTTTGTGAAACCAGTTACCTGAGAACAACCCAATGGTCATAAGTTTACCCTTATGTTTTTAATTTGTTGTTTTTCTTTTCCTTTCCTTTTTTTTCTTCTATATTTCCTGAACTGTCTAACCTGCTTCCTGGGTTAGAGAACATTTTGCCAAACTTTGAAGCCAAAGTCCCAGCACTGAACAATTCTTTATTTAGAGATCAGGCTCTAGGAAAAGAAAAATCTTTTTCAGTTTTGAAATCATGCAGTATGTGTGTATCTTCTGACTTGTGGAGGGAGAAATGATTGGTATAATGTGGATCATTTGGAAACTTGTATTTCGTAAGTAAAGCATACTTACAAAAAATTTTAATTATGAGTTTACAAAAAAGAATGCTTTTATCTCAACCCACTTTATGGGCTTAATCATGAGGCTTCTTAAACTCTAACTTTATAGTCCTAGAAAATTCTCAGTATTTCAACTCTTATGTTAAATATAATTAGCAATTTTCTTACTTCCTCACTATGTCCCCGAGAAAAAATTCTTAGATCTAGAAAACAAAACGTTAGCACTGACATGCCTAAATGACAACATTTTCTGGGTCCATTATCCATCTGTCCTTTGTTTACTTTGGCTTACACTTTAGATTGCTTTCAGTTGCCATCAGTTTTCCTTCAAACTTTCATTTCCCACTAAGGAATTCCAAGACAACTCAAGTTAAAACACAAATCTCTCCACCTCAATAAAACAGTAACTTATGAAAACAAAAAAGGAAAAATCGCATTAAAAATGTATTCCTTAGAGCTTAATGATTTTAATTCTTGATTTCAAAAGGTTGCCAATATATATAATTAAACATTAATTTTGAAAATAATGTACAGTATTTTGTAGAATGTAGAGCATCTTGGGAAAGGGGGAACAATGAATCAGGGCTAACTCCAGGTAACCTTTTAAAACATACTTATTTCTAATTTTTGTGGCAAAGCTGATCTCTAACAGAAAGTTAAGTAGTTCAGATTGGCTTACATTATTTCCTCTTTTTCTGAAAAAAATTTCCCAAATTTGTGTACTTTTTAAGGAAAAAAACATAGTTGCTCTTATAACAAATAATTTGTGGTTTGCAAAATGTCAAATGAACTTTGTAATTAAGGTGGGTTTCCCTCACAGTTTATAAACTTTGAATCAAAAGAAACCAAGCCCCTTATTCCACTCATGCCCTTGCCTTTTAATATGTCATTTGACATCTCCCTCTGTCACTAAGCATGGAGGCCAGTCCCAGTGTCGGGCTGCACATGGCACAGCCGATGCGGTTTGATATGATGGCCCTCTACTTACATTTCATTGCAGAAGTACTTAACAGTCCCCAGAAGCCACGAGGCACTCTGTGGGGACACAGCTATACATTATGTACGACAATAAATGCATCGTAATAATTCTTTGTAATGGCTAGACATGAAGTAACTGTAGGCTCCAGCTGAAGGGGGGCAGGAAGCACAGAAACTAGGCCCCTATGTCCATAGGAGAGCCTCCCCGCCCCCCCGTTTTTGGTCATGGATCTCGGTGCATTCAGTAAAAGCTTCCTCCTTCCTCCCCTCACCATCCTCCCAGAAAAACATAGGCATGTACATATATTTTGCATGAAATTTCAGAGAATCCACTGTGACCCATCACAAAAACCACTGCGTTGGAGGCTAGTTTTTGTTTTTTTTTTTTAAGATTTTATTTATTATTTGACAGAGAGAGACATAGTGAGAGAGGGAACACAAGCAGGGGGAGTAGGAGAGGGAGAAACAGGCTTCCCCGCGGTGCAGGGAGCCCGATGTGGGGCTCGATCCCAGGACCCTGGGGTCACGACCTGAGCTGAAGGCAGACGCTTAACGACTGAGCCACCCAGGCGCCCCGCTAGTTTAATTTTTTAACAGCCAGTATTTGCCTTTCCAAGGACAATAGGTTTCTGCTGGATTTTCCCGGCCTACCTGAGAGGATAACAAGTTGTTCCTTCCACAGCTGGTGCTAGAGACCTTTTTCTGGGCATGTTTGCCCCTTTTGAGTTACACAGTATCATTTATCAATCTTCCTGTGAAACCAATCCAAATCGAGGAAATCTAAGCATGCTAATGGAACACTGCTCTCTAGTCCCATTTATAAAGGCTTTCTGTGTCTTTGTCTTTAGAGACTATAAAAGTGGAGGGCTACTGTGGTCTGAAAATAGTGTTCTTCAGGCTAAATAAGGAATTCAGCTTATCCTTGCCACTTGGCATGAATCAAGAGCCATGTCCTCTTTATCTGAGCTGGGCCTGTTTGTGGTGTGGGTTCCTTATTAACCAACCAGGTTTTTTTCTTCTTTTTATTTTGGGACTGAGATACAGGATGACTTCTTCTATTGTGAAAATGTCTGAGAACATCTTCCATTATCTGGATACTCATTCTCTGTTAGCCTTTCCTCACCTTCCTCCTCTAGTTTTCAGTCACTATCAGAACTATGTGTGAGAGTTTGCTTTATTTCCCCTCTGTTCTTTGAACCACAGAGAAATACCCTCTGTGAGGTTTCTATATCAGGAAAATACATAAGATTAGTAAATAGGCATTTAAGAGAGGGGCTACTTTGAGATATCATGTCCTAGTTCAGACTGTCTTCACTACAACAGGGATCTTAGGGGCCAATGGAAAAGGGGGTGGTGCTGCTGCCTACTTTTATAATCATCCATCTATAAATCATCTAATCAAGGGGCTTCTATTTATATTTGGGAAGTATCTGAGTCATTCTACAATGCAGATCTTTGTCTTATTTTACTCTGTGTTTTCAACCACTGTTGCTTTATAATCATGTAAGGATTAGAAATTTAGCAACTGGTCTTCATACTCTAGCATATAGTTTGGATCTAGGGCTAAAATAGCGTTTTTGGACAGATTTCCAAACTGTGAATTAATTAGGAACAGGTTGTGGTTATTTAAGTAGAAGGAGCTGAGAGAGGTAATCTCCTGCATGAACTTGAACTGATTTGCTTTTATCTGTTTCTTCCTAAAGGTGAGACCACCACTCCTCGAGCCATTCTGACAGGCCACGACTATGAGATCACTTGTGCTGCTGTCTGCGCTGAGCTAGGCCTGGTGTTAAGTGGCTCCAAAGGTAAATCTGTGGTACCTTCATAAAATGTGTGCATTTTTTGGTGTTTGGCAAGGATGGCTTTGGTACTTTGTTCTCTAAGCTATGCTGTCTGTTACAGTAGCGATTAGCCATGTAGGACTATTTAAATTAACTAAAATGTGTAAGTTAACTATATAAAGTTTAAAACGCAGTTCCTGGGTGGTACTAGCCACTTTTCAGGTGTTCACTTCCCCCCACATGACTGTGCCTACTGAACTGAAGAGCATAAATACAGAACGTTTACACCATTGCAGAAAATTGTGTTTCACAGCATTGCTCTGAAGAGGGAGGCAGGGACAAGGAGCATCTTTGTCTATTTGTTTATTCTTCTGGACTCTAGGCTGGTTTTCATCTCACACCTGGTGGGAACTTGACCTGGTCTGTTTTAACTTCCAAATCTCAGAATGAGGCTGGAGCCGGGATGGCATTGAGAATGGAGTGGAGAGATACTTAAGCTGGTTTGCCTGGAGGTCTGCCCTTGCAACAACATCATGTATTTAGGCCAGAGATATTAAGCAAGCTTTCAGAGAGCACACACCACAAATCAGGATCTGACCTGGAACAGAGCTGTTTTTAATTCACTACTTATTCCATCTCAAGAGTTTATCCATTTCTCTGTCTCTCTGCCCTGAGCTGAGGTCTGAACACACAAAAAAAGTACTGTAGTCCTTTGTCTTTGAAGGTTATCTGGTGGGGATGCATTGAGTATTTGACTCACCTTATCTGTGTCTCGAACTATAATACTGAGTCTAGCCAACAAGACTTACTAAATATTCAAAGGGATTGTATTTAAAAATTTAGTTGGTCAAGGCAATGAAATAATGGTAGCAAGAATTCTATACCTACTAGATTTTTTTCCTTCTTATACCCAATAATTTCATATATCCTGAGCAAATATAAGTACTTAAGACTATACGGGATTCAGATTAGACACAGGGGCACCTGGCTGGCTCAGCCAGTAGAGCATGCAGCTCTTGATCTCAGGGTTGTGTGTTTGAGCCCCGTGTTGGGTATAGAGCTTACTTAAAAATAAAATCTTAAAAAAAAACCCAAAACACACAAAAAATTAGACATATAAAATGAACCTATCATAGTAAAGGTCATCCTTGCTTTGCATGGTAGTGCAGGACCATAAGAATGATAAGAATGACCATACAAGCTGAAAGCCATGTAGAGTGATCGTAACAATCAGTGGGGGACATTTGGGGTTGTTTCATGGCTTTTAAAATTTTTTGTCAAAACATTAAAAATTCGCTTACACAGTTTTATACACACACATATGGGCACAAAAAAACTAGTTAAACTCACATTTACATAATACACTGTAATTTAAAAACATTAGAAACTTTGAAAATTAAAGTGTTTTCCTCATGAGAAACTTATCAAGAGTAGAACAGTGGTTGCCCCCTTCTCTTTGTATAACTTAAGATAAAGAATGGAATCTTTTCTGTGCTTTGACCAGTTGTCACGCTCCTTTCTAAGTTTTGGTCAGCTTCCAACATTTTATCTTCTGTGCATTCAACATCATGAAACATCCCCCTTGGGTTCCTTTAAAGTGAAGGTTCTTGCTGGCATCACTACTTCTGGGACATCATCATTCTTGTTACAACCCCTTTTCTAATCTATGTCAGTAAGTTCACCTTCACGGATTTCCTCTGGCTACATATCTACAGTCTCTCAGCAACATCAACGTTTCCAGAATCAGCTCTTTCTCCTGTAATCCCATTTATATTCAGTGCAAAGTTCACTCTCAGCTTTATCACTTTTCATTTCCTTACTGCAATTTCATCTTTTGGCCAGTAGTCCCTTTTGATGATCCATTTTTGTAAAATGTCACATGGGTTTCTCTCTGGAGATGAGGAAGCAACACAACCACACAGTTAGCTCTGTGTGCACGGACTGAGGGACAGACCGTCAGTGACCACTCACGGACAGACTCTCAAAGGAAATGATGTGGTTGGTCACTTGTGATGCACATCTGTTATTTACATAGTCATTTGTGGACTGAAGAGCTAGTCACAAAATGTGAACTTTATGCAACTACTGTGAAACCTGAAGTTTGAACTGTGGTGAGGGACTGGTGTCATTTAAAGAGTGATCATGGATATTCATGCTGCTGGGACTATGTGAAGCAGAGGCTGCTGGTATGTATTTATGTTGAGAACACAAAAAACTTAAAAACTCCCTGAGCGGTCAAGAAAAAGAAGAGAACCTGATTTTCAAAAGGGCATGCTCTTGGGGTGCCTGGGTGGCTCAGTCGTTAAGCGTCTGCCTTCGGCTCAAGTCATGATCCCAGGGTCCTGGGATCTAGCCCCGCATCGGGCTCCCTGCTCCGCGGGAAGCCTGCTTCTCCCTCTCCCACTCCCCCTGCTTGTGTTCCCTCTCTCACGGTGCCTCTCTCTGTCAAATAAATAAAATCTTAAAAAAAAAGGGGGGGGGCATGCTCTTGGTAGTCCTGTGGGATCAGCTCACAAGTCCCACAGGCCTGAGTAATTTAGCTTGCAGATCAGCAGGCCTTATACTCGTTTCCCCTCTTGTCTGACTCGGGCATCTCTTAGAACTTAGTCATCACACAGGCGGTTCTGGTTACCTACTCCTTCTTTAACATGTAGCAGGCATTCAGTAAAAACCCTCTGATCGTAGGCACTCGCAGTAGCTCCCATCCCCCTCAGGCAGCTCAGCCTGGAGCTCAGCCTGGGGAGTTGGGAGTGTGGGTGCCACTCGCTTTGGGGGCAGCCAGCGAGTGTACTCGCTTGCAGAAGGACCTCTGTGTGAATTTACTGGGAGTGGGGGGGAGGGGGGAGGTGGACTACCAGCGACGTTCTTTCATTGTGAATAATGAGCAGTGGAGGGAAGAAGGCTGAGGCCTCCCGAAGCTGCCCTAAAGAGCTGTCCCTTCGCTGGCCCACAGTGCGACCACTGCTGTTGGGGCCCCTGTGACATGCAGACAGAGCTTCATCGTGAGCTTGATGGCAGCTTGTGTTTAACTGTGGCCCACCCTTCCCGGAAGCTCCTCTAGGATTTGGAATTTGTCCTGTTCCTTTCTGAACGCATCTTGTTTTGATCATCTCTTGGCATAATAAATTTCACAAAGTAACTTCCTGTCTCTTGAGGAGAAGTGAACTTGAATGTATAGGACTTGGCTTTCTCCTCTCCCAAGAAGAAGGTGAGATCTGGCCAGCATGCAGGTGACATTTTGTAAAATAACATATATATGTAAGTTTTAAAGGTTTGCTACAGCTGTATGATCCTGTTTGATCTGTGCTCAAGATTCATTTCACATTTGTCATCATTAAAAAAATTTTGTCTTTTGTTTCTCTTTTCTCAGAAGGACCATGTCTCATACATTCCATGAATGGAGACTTATTAAGGACTTTGGAGGGTCCTGAGAACTGCCTGAAACCAAAACTCATTCAGGCTTCAAGAGAGGGTCATTGTGTCATATTCTATGAAAATGGCTGCTTCTGTACATTCAGTGTGAACGGGAAACTCCAGGCCACTATGGAAACGGATGATAACATAAGGGTGAGTATACTACAGACTTTTCACCCTTCTAGATCTTGACCTCCAGGTGTGGCAAGTGAGGAGGGAGAGGGTTCACTAGAGAGACCTCTGTTTCAGTCGCAGAGGGCCTTTCCACGCCATAAGAAAATCATCAGGTAGCACTTGGATGGGGCTTGTGTATTCACAGACCACGGCGTGTCCTGGCCGTGGCGACCGCATCGCTCAGCCAGGGCACTCCGTGCGTGACGGCACACAGTAAAACCAACCTGCGTGGCTTTCATAGCATTGTTCAGCTTTTTTTTTTTTTTCTCTAAGAAAGGTAACTGCACATAGTTGTTTTCTGAGCATCAAAGCTAAACTAGTACACTAGACTACCCCTAACACCAATTCCTCTGCACACTTGAATAGGCAGCTGGTGGGAGTGGTAGGGATTACGACTATTCAGGATTAGTATCTCATTCCAGACTTGACTTCTTGAATAACAAGACCAACACTTACCAAATTCAGGGAATTGGGCTTCCAATTATGATGTGAATTAGGCAGACATTTTTTTCCCTTTTGATAAGCCAGGAATGGTAATGCTAGGGGACCTTCTGGAGCCTTGCTTCATTTTCAGGACAGGACTCCAAAAGGATTAGAGGTTGAAGAAAACAATAAGGACTGCTCTTTGAAGAGGCTCTTTTTTCAAGGTCCTTCTTTTCTCACTCCCAGCCTTCAGGGGCAGCTTAAGATAAAAGGAAGCTGTGGTGTTCCTATCATTTTCCAGGATGAGGTTGGAGGCACATGTGAACTGTGTACGGTGAGGGGACTCTGGACATGTCAGGGGTGCAAAGAGGGTCACAGAGGCCGCTGCCCTCCAAGTGTGGCTTTAAGCTAGCTCTGGACATTATATTCGTTGCTCTTCCTGACCCAGGGCAGCTTGGATGACATAAATTTTCCCGGTTTCCCAGATCTAATCTGAGCCCCACCCCACCCCCACCCCCGCTTCTCTCAAGTAAACAAATACTGGAGTCAGTATTTGAAACAACAACCCTAAATATAGATTATGTGGATGAAATGAAGGGCACTTGCTGCTTCTGTCTCTTAGCATTGATTTCTTAATTCAGTGTCATCTCCATTTCGCTCTGTAAATTTTCTTCACTGTATTTTGACTGCCTCTACCACAAAAGCGTGCACTCCTACTTTTATTTTTCCCTTCCTTCTCATAATACTTCATTTAAACCAAGTACACATCAGAGGATTTTCCTTTCCTCTTTTCTTTACAATAATAATGTTGATAATCTGTCACTTTGAGTTACGATTATACTGTCAGCAACACTAAGAAATCTGTAAAATAATTTGAAATCCCTTGCTGGCTAAAACAATATCTGTGGCATTTCAGTTAGTACCGAAGGCTCTGGGAAGTACCTTGAGGCAATGGTACGGAGGCTTTCTGCAGACTGTTCATACACACATGTTTTTCCTCTCTGCCCTATAGCCATTGTTTTTTTCCCCCTGTAATATTTCCCACTGGATTTTAGGCTTAAACAATCCATTGCCTTTTTCCCAGCACTCCTGCACTTTATCACACTGGCTTGCAAGTGGCAACTGTGTGATTAAAACAAGTTTGCCTGGGGCGCCTGGGTGGCTCAGTCATTAAGCGTCTGCCTTCGGCTCAGGTCAGGATCCCGGGGTCCTGGGATCGAGCCCCACATCGGACTCCCTGCTCGGCGGGAAGCCTGCTTCTCTCCCTCTCCCACTCCCCCTGCTTGTGTTCCCTCTCTCGCTGTGTCTCTCTCTGTCAAATAAATAAATAAAATCTTGAAAAAAAAAAAAGTTTGCCTGAAATGAGCACTACCTGCCCATGGCTCCAGAGACTGGCACTGGCACAGCTAACGGCTGGAGAATACGAGACATCCCAGAGCAAAAATCTCCAGTTCCATCCTGCAGTCTGAGCTGTACAAGGAAACGAGACCATGGAAACAAAGTAGTCATCAGCTCAGACCAGAAATTAAGTTTCTCTGAAATACCAAGAACCCGGCAGGCGGCAGCCTGGGGAACCTCTGCACTAATCAAGGCTTCCCACCTGTTTTTATTTAGATGCCAGATTGTTGGGTGGCATTTGGTTAACGTATCATAGCACATCAACTAGGCAGTGTTTAGATGTCTTAATGAGTAACTTAAATTAAGTGGGCAGCCTGTACAGAGCAGCAAAGTTATTTTATCCTAAACAAAGGATAACCACCATTTCACCCCTAGGAACTCATTTCTTTTCTTTTTCTGGGGAAACTCGGTTTTAGGACGTGAGCATGCCCAGCAGACTGCTATGGCCGTAGAAAGCAGTACAGCTGTGGCATTGTCCAAGGCACTCCGGAGTCCAGGGGATGTGGACATGTCTCGGGGGCCCTCTTAAAATCTCTCGTCTCGGCCCACCCCGGATACTGAGGAGAGGAGTTAGAGTTAAGAACTCCGTGAGCGCTGGTTTGGGTGGAAGACTGGACGCCCTCAGTAAATGTTACCGTATCTCTTACTCCAGGGGAACTTGACAGGTTCCTCGTGAGAAAGGCCAACAAAATACTCTCTCACTTTGGCGGGCACCTGGCTTATTAAAATGTTTTGGATGCCGATAAATATATAAGCCTAAAAATCCAGGCTTCATTTAATTCCAGACAGAACTAGGATTAGCGATTCTTTACTAGAACAAAGACTTAAAGAAAAGTAGTTTCAGTTTATGTTTTAATATAGCACTTACCCAGCAAAAAGCCTCAAGGATCAAACTCAAGTGAACCACAACCATAAAGTTAATGGATTTTCATCAGCTGAATTTTGTAAGTGTAGCAAGTAATTGCCCCGGCCCGTACTGCAGTTCTCTGGTAGCCTGTAGCGATCGCCGTTTGTGACATGAATGGGGGGGAAAGGATATTGACTTTTACTTATATTGAAGAATCTTACTATTTGTATTGGATTAAGATTCAGAGAATACTTCTTACTTGTAACTGTTTTCCATATACGGGTTTTTCTTAGATGTATTTTTGTATTCTTTGAGAATAAGCTACATTTAAGAGACCAGTAAAAGTTGGCATTTACGTAAATGTGAATTGAATGGCTATGGAACAGTCCTTTTCTAGGATTTTTTAAAAATTTTGTCAAAGGGCACGTTACAAACTTAAGGCAACTGTACTAAAACTGAGTGCAGAACAAATATATTTTCAGAAGTTAGATTTTTTTTTTCTTTCTGGCTTGCTAGCACAATCTGCCTTCCCATATTCACTGTCCAGGTAGACATAGGATTACAGGTATTTATGCTTTCCTTGAAAAGGATAAAAAATATTTTAGGCTTTGCAGGCTCTGTATTCTGTTGTAGTCACTTGTGAGAGTGGCCATAAATGAATGGGTGTGGTTATGTTCCAGTAACCCTTATTTACGGGCACTGAAATTTGGAATTCATATAATCTTCACAAGTCATGGAATATTATTCTTCCTTTGATTTTTTCCAACCACTAAAAATGTAACAAGTCATATAAAAGCAGGCAGTGGTCTGCATTTGGCCCCATTTACAGGACTGAAGAGCAAATACCATGTCTGTACTTCCTGTTCAGTACTGGCAGGAAGCAGTCAGTCCTGGGGCAAGAAGAAAATGCTTCACCTGGGGTTTAATCACCCTGGAAGCTGGCTCTCTATCTACCACGTTGTCTTCCTCACCGCTGTAAAAATCCAGGAGGCCTAGTGAAGTTACTAAAGCTCTTGGTCTTCTCCCGTGGGGCCACAGCCCCAAAGGCAGCAGTGTTTTCTCGGGGATCTGAGGTCAGCTAGCACTGCCTGCCCAGCCTTGGGATAGAGTGGGCTTAGCACATCCACAGTACAACTGGAGAGATGCCAGGAGGCTCCTCATTTCATAATGCTGGTCCTAGGCCACAACATGCACCATTTAAATTGTATTCACAGAGCCGGAAGAGTTTGCCACCTCATCTTTAAAAAGCAAAAATTAAAAACACAAAACCTCAAATACTGCCTAACTTTGTCCATTTGATTTTTGAAAAAGGACAAAAGTTTTCTGTAACTCCTGATTTCCTATAACCTTCTTAGGAGCACATGCATCCACTCTCTCCCTGCATGGAGTGGCTGCAGGGTAGAGGAAGGAAACAAGGGCTGGGAGCCGGGGTTCTCGTAGGGCCACACCTCTACTGAATATTGCTGTGTCTCTCCTAGGCCATCCAGCTGAGCCGAGATGGGCAGTACCTGCTCACAGGAGGGGACAACGGTGTGGTCATGGTCTGGCAGGTGTCTGACCTCAAGCACCTCTTTGCCTATCCAGGCTGCGATGCTGGAATCCGGGCCATGGCCCTGTCTTACGACCAGAGGTAACACTGAAATCACGGTCTACTGATGGGGATAGTGAAAACTGGAGGGAATTTATTTAAATGGGCTGATGGATAGACTGGGTTGTGGGGATCACCTGGGCAATCAAAAAAGCCAGTGAGAGGCACTTGGGTGGCTCAGTCATTAAGCGTCTGCTTTCGGCTCAGGTCATGATCCCGGGGTCCTGGGATTGAGCCCCATGTCCTGCTCCCTGCTCAGCGGGGAGTCTGCTTCTCCCTCTCCCTCTGCTGCTCCCCCTGCTTGTGTTCTCTCTCGTTCACTCTCTCTCAATAAATAAATAATCTTAAAAAAAAAAAAGCCAGTGAATTTTTTTTTTAAAGTGTCATTTTCCTTTTTGATGGCATTGCCACTCCTAGACAAAGGCTGAATTCTCCAGCAATAGACAGGATTTAAGTAACAAAAACTGTAATTACATTGCCATAAAGCTTTTTATATTTCTTAGAGTACTTTTTCCTTAAAATAAAAATTTAAGAGCTGTAAACATGTTTAATACAAAATGCCTGTATCTCTGTCCATGAGAATTCTATGGAGAGATTTGCCTTATTTCCTAAAACCTTCCAAGTGGTAAATTTTGGGGAGATAGTCTCCAGTATCTTATTTCCTCTTAACATACAGTCACAGATTTTAGTTCCTAATTTTTTTTTTAAATATTTTATTTGACAGAGAGAGACAGACCAAGAGAGGGAACACAAGCAGGGGGAGCGGGAGAGGGAGAAGCAGGCCTCCCGCGGAGCAGGGAGCCCGATGGCGGGGCTCAACCCCAGGACCCTGGGATCGTGACCTGAGCCGAAGGCAGACACTTAACGACTGAGCCACCCAGGCGCCCCTAGTTCCTAACTTTTTTATTGTGTTAACATATACATAAAATTTACCATCACTTTTTTGGTGTACAATTCAGTGGCATTACGTACATTGACACTGTTGTACAACTATCATCACTGCCCATCTTTTTTTTTCATAAGTTTTCATCATCCCAAAGAGAAGTTCTGTACCCATTAAACACTAACTTACCATTTTCCCTCCCAGAGCTCCATCCAGCTCACTTCAATTCCAGTGTCTGTCTCTATGAATTTGCGTCTTTTAGATACTTCGTATAAGTGGAAGCATAAAATATTTGTCCTGTTGTAGCATGTGTCAAGCTCATTCCTTTTTAAGGCTGAATAGTACATGCCACTTTGTATAGCTACTCATCTGTTGACATTTTGGTTGTTTTCACCTTTTGGCTGTTGTGAATAAGGTTGCCATGAACGTTCATTCACGTACAAATATCTGTTCAGATTCCTGTTTTCTTTTATTTGAGGTAGACAACCAGGAGTGGAATGCTTGGTTTGGTGTAGTGATTGATGTAGTTTTGGTATAGTGTGTGTGTGATTTGTTGTTGTTGTTTTTTTAAGATTTTTATTTATTTGACAGAGAGAGAGAGAGCACAAGTAGGCAGAGTGGCAGGCAGAGGGAGAGGGAGAAGCAGTAATGGTAATTCTTTAACTTTTTGAGGAACTGCCAAACTGTTCTCCACAGTGTCTGCACCATTTTACATTCCCACCAGCAGAGCATAAGGCCTGCAATTTCTCCACATCTTCACCAACACCTGTTATGTCCTGGTTGTGGTTTATTTTTGTTTTTTAATAATATCCATCCTAATGGGTGTGAAATGGTCTCTTACTGTGGTTTTGATTTGCATTTCCCTAATGACTGGTGGTGTTGACTTTGCACTCTTAATAGTGTTCTCTGATGTGCGGAAGTTTTTAATTTTGATGAAGTCTTTTACTGTTGTTGTAAATGCTTCCAGTGTATCCAAGAAATCATTGCAAAATCCAATGTCATAAAGCTTTTCCCCTATGAGTTTTATAGTTGTAACGCTTATGTTTAGTTTTTGATCCATTTTGAATTCATGCCTGTATATGATAGTAGATAAGGGTCCAGTTTCATTCTTTTGCATGTGGATATTGGTTTTCCCAACACTATTTGTTGAAAAGACTGTCCTTTCCCCACTGAATGGTCTTGACACTTATCAAAAATCATTTGACCATATATGTGAGTTTATTTCTGGGTTCTCTATTCTGTTGATCCATATGCCAGTACCAAACTGTTTTGATTACTATAGCTTTGTGGAAAGTTTTGAAATCATGAAGTAAAATTAATTTTACTTTTTGTTTTTTTTTTTTTCCAAGATTGTTTTTGGCTATTTGGGGTTCCTTGAGAATCCATTATGAATTTTATGATGGGTTTTTTCTATTTTTGCAAAAAAAAAGGGGGGGGGGATTTTGATAGGGATTGGGTTGAATCTGTTGATTACTTTGGCTAGTATTGTCATTTTAACAATATTAAATCTTCCAGTCTGTGAACACAGATGTCTTTCCATTTATTTGCTTTTTTTAATCTCTTTCAGCAACATTTTATAGTTTGCAATATACAAGTCTTTGGCCTCCTTGGTTAAATTTATTCTTGAGTATTTTATTCATTTTGTTGCTATTGTAAATGGAATTGTTCTTAATTTCCTTTTCAGATTTTTTTCATTGCACATGTACAGAAATGCAACTTAATTTTTTTTTTTTTAGAAATGCAACTTAATTTTGTGTGGATTTTATATCGTGTAAAACTTTGTTGAATTCATTAACTCTAACAGGTTTTTTTGTGGAATCCTTAGGATTTCCTATATATAAGGTCATGTCAGTCTATAATAGAAATTAATTTTACTTCAAACTTTACAATTTGGATGTTTTTGTCTTGCCTAATTGCTCTGGCTAGGACTCCCAGTACCATGTTGAACTGGTAAAAGTGTTTATTTTTGTCTTGTTTCTGATAATAGAAGAAAAGCTTTTAGTCTTTCACCACTGTGTATGATATTAGCTGTGGGTTTTTCAGAAATTCCCTTTATCATGTTTATGTACTTTCCTTCTATTCCTAGTTTGAGTACTATCATTAAAGCATGTTGAATTTTGTGAAATGCCTCTTGTTCATCAATTGAGGTGATTATGTAGGTTTTTGTTAGTTCTGCTAATGTGGTAGATTACGTTGATTTTTGTATGTTGAACCATTCTTGCATTCCAAGAATAAACCCATCTTGGGTCATGGTGTATAATCCTTTAATATACGGCTGAATTGGGTTTGCTAATATTTGTTGAAGATTTTTATAGCAATATTCATAAGGGATATTGGTCTGTAATTTTTGTTTCCTGTAGTGTCTCTGACTTTGGTGTCAGGGTAATGCTGGCCTCACTGAATGACTTAGGAAGTATTCTGTCGTTTTTAGTTTTTTAGAAGAATAAGAGTTGGTGTTAATCCTTCTTTAAAAATGTTTGATAGAATTCACCACTGAAGCCATCTAGTCCAGGGCTTTTCTTTATTGGGAGGCTTTTGATTATTGATTCAGTCTCGTTAGTAGTTATAAGTCTATTCATATTTTCTATTTTTTCATGATTTAGTTTTGGTATAGTATGTGTTTTTAAGAATTTTTCCATTTCAGGGCGCCTGGGTGGCTCAGTTGGTTAAGCGACTGCCTTCGGCTCAGGTCATGATCCTGGAGTCCCGGGATCGAGTCTCGCATTGGGCT